GATGCTAAAAAACTGTCAAGTAATTTCTCCATAATTTGATTAAAAAGCTTTCGAAGACTTTGAGTGTTAAGAACTTTATCATTACTTAAAAACTTCAAGGTTAAAAGTATCGTCAATAGAACGGCAAAATTCGAACGGAAAAGATTTACGCACAAATTTTCAGATACGCTGGTTAAGTATATAAGGTTAACACTATAGACCTAACAATTAATAATTTCAAGTGCATTAACTCTATCATTGCTTAGACAATGTTTTCGTTTGCAGATATACAGCGATCCAATTTCTTCCTGAGTTTGAGATACGAGAATTGAAACCCAAAATCTTAAAATCGCCATCAGAAACTAGCACGTGAATGAAGGCTTGCAGCTGAATGGGGAGAGTGAGCACGTATGTTTCTAGCACGATAACTTCAGTCTTCGAAACATTGTATAACGTATAGTTCTAAACGAGAAGCTTTTCTGTACAACTCTTGTATTTTGTAATCGCTTGCAATTAATAATATTTATTAATATTCACTCGTATTAATTTCCATAATTAATAGATAAGTTATCATGAGTCTCTTCATCTGGCTTCTAAGGTTTTAATATTTTCAATTTTATCTTAGGTTTTAATATTTCCTACCTTTTTTTTACGTTAATTATACTTGCTGAGAATTATATTAGTGATGGAGCTGGTCTTCGAAACTTTTTACATGGAATTATAGTGAAATTATTTGGCTTTTTGTTATCAAGACAAATTGCACTTCAAGTTTCTGAATGTACGAGTAAAGAGAGTTGACCTCAAATGTCATTACATTAATGCACATATATATAATCGCGTATTTTCAACACGCATCGGGTCAACATGTATAACAAAACTTGATTTGAACATCTTGCTTAGTTGAACATCGAAAACAAAAATTAGTATTAAAACACATTCAATTCAACACCAATAATACAATTAACAATTCAACGCATTCATAGATTCAAAATAATTAACTTAAATGATAAATAATCAAATTCTTAAATTTAACATAAATCATATAAATTGATAACTGGACAGATTTTTAAATATAACATAAAAACATATCTCAAATACATTCTTCAATTCAGGATCCATAGCAACATACTCTGATTCAAGTCAATCTTCAGAAGACCACCAACATCAACATTATGCAGCAGCTACATTAATTAACAACAAAGGCATCAACATCGAGACCAAAATGGCAACACATTCAATGAAAAAGAAGAATATGAATCAGAATCAGCTGTAGAAGCTACGTTGTGAAGGTAAATCAGTTGTAAAAGCTACGTTGGGAAGGTAAATCAGTTGTAAAAGCTACGTTGGGAAGGTAAATCAGTTGTAAAAGCTACGTTGGGAAGGTAAATCAGTTGTAAATGCTACGTTGGGAAGGTAAATCAGTTGTAAAAGCTATATACGGTGGAAGGTAAATCAGTTGTAAAAGCTACGGTAGGAAGGGAAATCAGTTGTAAATGCTAGTGGATGACATGTATATCACGGCAATTTGAATTTAGTTGAAGTTTTGGCGTGGAGCTTACATACATTCCCTATAATAGCCTAAATATTGTAAATATATCTAAGGCAGCACTAGAGCAACAGGAGCGTTTGCCTAGCATGTAAATACTAGTTTAGTTGTCTTATTCTAGTAAAATAGAGCGGGGTATCACCCAAGCAGTAATTGTAAACAGGTGGGCTTAGCAGTTAAATGAACTAAAATTTAGAATGCAAATTTGTTCAACCATTCTAACAAAATTCCCTTCAGTAAAATATTGCAGAGTATAGAATCGTGGCTACGCGTAGAAATTAGCAGATCCAGCAACCACCCTCAATATAGATCTGGAATTGCAAGTAGACAGGAAGAATCATTTAGTAAAAAACTGTTGAAGTAAAATAATAACTTGCACAAATAATCTTGCAGCTACCTCCGTTCCGTTCAGCAGCCACAGTGAATAACAAAGCATGCATAAGGGAAATTTGTTATTTTATGAATGCTGCAGTGATTAGGTCGGGCGATCGAGTTCTCGATAGCCTGGCTACGTTCAGGAACGTTGACCCGACAATCGGAAAATAAAGCGTCTTCCAACTAGCTTTTGAAAGAAACAGAATTTCATTTTGTTAATTTGCTTATGAATAAGACGAAAAATGTAATACAAAATTTATTGTAAACAATAACACAAGACAGAGTGAAGGCTAGAGCTTTTATTTCAGTGAGCATTCAACACTAAATACCGAACGTAAAGTTGAATATTCTTTCAGAAATCAAAAGTGAATCAGAGCCTGGCCATTTATTTGCACGCTTATTAGGTACACCCTTCTCGTCCGTTCGGGATCTAAAATATACAAGTCATACATAAAATTATGCTGTAAACATCTAAGAACAAATTTAGAAGTAAAAATAGCAGATATAATAAAAAAAATTCATTTGGCATAGAAAATTCCTATGATTTCTACAACACAAACTAGGATGACATTGTAGAAGTAAACATGTGATGACGTAAGCATGGTAGAAAGCGAATACGATGAGAAGTGAACATGGTAGAAAGCGAATACGATGAGAAGTGAACATGGTAGAAGCGAATATGATGAGAAGTGAACATGGTAGAAGCGTTTATGATGAGAAGTGAACATGGTAGAAGCGTTTATGATGAGAAGTGAACATGGTAGAAAGTGAACATGGTAGAAAGTGAACATGGTAGAAAGTGAACATGGTAGAAAGTGAACATGGTAGAAAGTGAACATGGTAGAAAGTGAACATAGGAGAAAGTTTACATGGTAGAAAGTGAACATAAAATAAGAGGACATGCTGGAAAGTGGGCATAAAGTGGGAGGACATGCTGGAAGTAGGCATGAAGAAGGACACGAAGGATGAGGAATTGGTGAAAAGTGAGCATGATGGAAGTGAACATGAAGGAAGAAGACATGGTGGAAAATTGTTATGACAAGAAGCGTGGTCGTAGACATAAGAGGCAATATAGGCAGGGCTTCACCTCAGTCTGCTGACAGTTCCCTGCACTGAAATGACACCGTCACACACATGTAAAACTTGCCACAGTTTACACTTTGAAAACCTTAACCAAAAAATACGCGTAGATTGTCAAGTCGAACTTTCAGACGCTCATTTCGTTTCAAATGACAAGGGCAGTCGTTCATACGAACAGATATCTGGAACACTGCGTTAAATAATAAGGTGAGATAACTCGCGATACACAGCACGAGTAAGCTGATGAAAACAATATAATAATGAAGAGAATTTGCAGAAATAGAGGTGCATGGTTTTTGTGTTTCCTGGCTTGAATTTTCTAAGAAAAATCATTCATTCATACAACCTAATTACAGCAGCCGTACAAATTTTTTTACCTTACACAAGCTATGTCCCCGCGTAGGTGCCAAATATATACATAACTATGACACCGAAGTTCTGCGTGCGAGCCAAATTTCCAAGCAACCACAACAACACAATAGGTACTCATTGTTCCTAATTAAGTAGGTGATCTCGGGCTGTAACATGAAGAATACGAGGGCAACCACCACGTCCGTGCTGGGTTCATTGATAGGCCTCGCGTCAGTATAGCTCTAGCTGCTCTCGGATTAAAATAAGGGACGTTCTTATCACAGTGTTATTACAAAAGGAATACTTAACGATAGAAATGAGCATCAAAAGAGTTAAATTAATCAGTATAGTAGAAAAGAGTACTTCAGTGCTTGTGTAAGAACACGAGAATATCAGACACAACATAATGCAATTATGAGTGAGATACAAGAATACGACGATACAAGAATACGACAACTCAGAGTTACACATAAACACACACGTTAAACAAGACAATCGACGAACCGGTAAAGAATATTTTGTGACATTCGAAGTATCGCAGCGCAAATTTGAATTTCTGCGAACGGGTGTTAAAAAAACAATATCGTTATAACAATGACACAGTTAAAAGTTTCATTTATTATAATGGGGCTGAGGTTGAAATCCAAGTACTTTTATAACTCGACTAACAGAAATAACATAAATTTCACGGTAAAATAAAAAAAATCACTTTTTATAATCGTAAAATTAAGGTGCCAAATGGTGGTTATAAACAGAGACTCAAAAATGACGGATTTGACTTAGAATTGAGTGGAATTGACGGGTTTTAGCCGCGATGCGATCTAACACGTGCAAGTGAAATGTTCGGCATCATATACATCCTGTTGATGCCTCTATGATCTTATTCTTAGTAAGATGAATGTAGGTTGAGAACATGAATAGACAATTGAGGACTACGCCGACTACCTCAACAGACGAGCCTATGAAATTGTGTATACCTATCAAATGTTATTAACGTAAATATTCAATGCTGAAGCGTCAACTCACTAGGGCAAATCCGAGAAGCTTGGTGTTCAGAGCTACCCGAGCATCAGGTGCTGATTTAATCATTCTTAGTGCCTTTCTTGGACATGAGTTCTCGAGTATGATTAGATTTTAGCTGGAGGGGCACAAACTCCCCCGGCCACCGTGCCTCAATTCCAACATAAACGGCTCAAATAACGTAATATAATGATAAGAATTAAGAAAATTAACGTAATGACGAACGTACTCAGCGTTCATTAAATGCAACGACGACACAAATCGCAGAAGTGCCACGGCCATGTCGGCTTCAGGTCTACTAACCTTTTGGACATTATAGGTCGCGCGTAACAAGGAAGGATTTTGCATAACAAGGAAATATTTGCCAACAAATAGACTTGTGGCAAAGTATTTTTGTCTCATAGATTCCTAAGCCCCACACTGCGCTTACAGAATACTGAACCATGTGAAATAGCATCCATCGACTTTGTTTTGTGCTCATTGTGAAGGTATTTACTGTTAGTATGAAGCTCCCAGACAGCCTCCGAAATCTATACATCCAACGTAACAAAGAGAGAATAAAGTTAAGACTCAGGAAATTAAACACTGGATATTTGTGCTTGCATGGGGCGAAAACATCCATTGAACCAGTTCATGAAATGACGACGAATGTCAAAAATATAGGAATGTACTTCAAGATTAATTGAACAACGTAAAAATGGGTCGGCAATTCCTTTTTGGGGAGCTGAAATACTTGGTATGGTATCTGGAGCACAGGGAAATATAACAGGAGAACCTGGAAGGGAATGAGGAAAATCGGAAACGTTTCCGAAACTTTGGTCCTTGTTTTGGTCATACGTATTTAAGTGGTAAGTTTGTTGGGCAGGTAGTTTGGAGCCCCGATAACAGGGGCGGCAGTTTCGGGGAAACAGGGACATTCCTCCAGAGGAGACACGGACCCATCCTGGCCTATGCTCACTGGGTACTTGAGGAGATGTGCATCCAAATGGCAAGGCTCGTTAACAACGTAACGGTCCCAGTTCGACTGAGCGGCCGCATTTACGGCCCTCATGCATTCCACGGTTCCCGGCTGGGCATGTGCTTCTTCTAAGGTCCCTCCTAAATGCTCTGCCCACAGAGCGGTGCGGAATTCATGTACGTTTCCCCTTGGCAAGCCGTCACTGGTGTCTGAAGTGTGGGCGGGTTGGTAGCACCCTACCGCAATCTCGGAGTCTCGAGTGCCACTCATACTGCGTTGGTTGATGTTTGCGGAGCCGATGATGATGTACTCGTCGTCTACAATCATCATCTTAGAGTGAACGTAGATCATGAAACGGGCTTGTTCCCTCAAACCAACGGCAGGGCTCTCTGGGTCAGGCGTAGCGAGATCTTCCGGGATTTCGTCTGGGCCTTCGCCTTTACCGAGGCAGTAGAAAGTTAGGTAATCGGTGGGGTGGGTGTCCAAGCCGTGTTCTTCGATGCCAGAAGAAATTTTCTTGTACATCATTTCCATGGTGCGATGTTGCCAGTGGAGGATCTCCTGCACAGGTTTGCTCACTGGATCCCCCTCTGGGTACATTGGTATAATAGCGTATACGCAGAAATGCTCACCGGCAGCCATCTTTTCGAGGATTTTGTGCGTTATCTCGGCGGGTATGAGATGGTGCGCTTTGGTATTGGTTTCGTCTTCCCAGCAGTAAGCGGATCCCAAAAAATATTGGTTTTCAATGTACAGGAACTTCTGTGATCTCCGGATGTGATGTATGTACGCACGATGAATGCTGTCATCAACGTACTTTCCCTTGCGTTTAGGCACAGTGAAAACTTTATTGAAGTCGAACGAGGCGGAGTCAGAGGTTATAGAACGGAATACCTGCACGTTCCAAAGTTTGGATTCATCATCGACGACGGCCGGAGCATCCACGGCAAAATCATCGCTGGATATCCTGCGGAGTCTGGATAGTAGTTCACCGGCTTGCTGACGCCAACGCTCGTAGAAATTATTAAGTATATCCATGCACACAGGACCTTCCAGCTTACAGTGGATATCATGCCAAGGTTGGCGGGGTCCTACCAGTTCAGTAGTCTGGACACATCCGTTGTAGAAATCCCCGCAATGTTTGCTGGTAAGCGTTTTGAAAAGTTCGTGTTCGGGAGTGTCCCATCGGCCGTTGGTGATGTCCAGCCCTCCGACGAAGGCAATGACGCGTCGCAGCTCCTCGCCCTCCGCAGGATCAGTGTCGAGGATCACAGTCTTTTGATGGTGTGTGTAGCAAGTTTCAGAGAACTGGTTCCTGATGTAACTCGTGAGGCCTTCAAGGACCCGCATGCGAGGGACTACAGCTACTTCGACATTAGATCCTAAGAAGTAGTCCTTTGTGGCTTCATCGTGAGTGCCCATGAGTCCAGGTGTAACCTCGGTACTGAGTTTCTCGTTCCAGATAAGCACCAGTACGCGTACTCCTTCGTCTGCTTTCCGTTTAAGGAGCTCGCCCACAGTTTCTCCCACACCCTCGGAATGAGCATCACAACACTGACGTACGAGAGCAGTTTCGCAGTAGACGCTCCACCCTGTGATGTAGATGAATACTTGTGCCTTGATCAGAGATTTGTACAAGTCAGTCCAAGCACACGGGGGATCATACACCTCCCCTGCTGCTGTAATGACGTTCTCGTAGAGAGGAAGGGAAGGACAATGAGCATCTTGGTATAGTCGCACGGAGCACCTTTCCTTCATGGGAAAGTAACACTCAGGCACCTCAAACGATGCCTCAATTGCGTCTTTTGGAAGGTACCGCATGCTGAAATTTACCTTGCCATCACACCCAGACAGGGGATACCACCCAGATATTTCATCACCGCCCATTAAATCTTCAACTCGTACCTCATATTCGCCAATTTTGCCTGCGCCAACGTGATCCTTATCCATGACCATGACTTTGAAGAACTCGACTTCATGGCAAACTGGAATTCTGTATGACTCTTGCCAACGAGGATTGACATTGTTGTTGATGTAGGCAGTCTTGCAGATGACATTGGTTCCAATCTTCACCTGAGCAAAAGGGTCTGAGGTATCTTTACCATCAATGTTGAAGAAGGCTGTGTCACAGTCAGGCAAGTCACGTGCCTCATTTAATGTTATGTAGAGGAATCCACGTAGCAAAACCATTTTATTTCACTTAGCTGCCAAATTCAGCAACACTGTTAACTGAGCCTGAGCAACCACTAGTTATACTGCCTACACTGATAATTAGATGAGATAGAAAATCAGTATTTCTGTGCTCCAACACAAAAGTCAGTATGAGAGAGCTACAACATCCACTTCTCAGAAAGTATTCATTTGCCTTTTAGTCAGATAACTCTGCAGAGGTTGCAATTAGAACATTTATTAATTAACATAGTGTTAATTTGTGCACAGCACAAGAATGAATATATCAAAATTTTCAGCTAATTTTGGTAACTGGTAGTGCACAAAGGATACAAAATCCTTTGTGCAATACCATGAAATTGAGATCATTTGAAAAATTGAGGCATATTTGGTCATCCCAAAACATTCTACAAATTTGTTAAAGCTACCAGTAGCAGTACATCACAAAGATATTACCTATCATTGATTGGTCAAAGAATAAATATATGATAGAAAGTTTTATAAACTCAACTGGTCAATCTTATGATGAGAACTTAACACCCTTATTGCAAATAAAACCCCTTATTAAACAAAAGATCTCAGTTAAAACACACTAGAGACCTTCTCTGATATTAATATAGGTAACATTGAAATTTGATTCAATTAAAGTATTCAATTTTTTATTTCAGTATTTCCCATATCTGTATTAAAGCACCAACTGTTATATACACCGCTATCAATGATGCACGAGGTGCCAATGTCTTACTACTGCACTAAACTCATTCATCCTCTATGAAATTAACAAAATAATTAATACACGTACATTTTTTAAATTTTGTAAAAGATAAAACTTCCAAGTGACTGAAATGCATTTAGGTAGCTCTTTTACAAATCTGTTATCATTAATGTTTTCATCATAGATTGACAATCCAAATTAGAGTAGCAAATGGTTAGTGGAAAATACATCATTGATCTTGAGATAGGTAATTTATAACAAGTTAATGAAAATAAATTGACAGTGATTCATAAATAATTGGCAATTACTTTTCATGAAATTTTTAGAATATTGTAAAACTTGAAAATTGAGCAGAAGCCACTTGTAAATGGGTCAAACTATATAGGTATATACATGCTTATAGATTACCGGTACCCATACCAACAATCCTTGCCTGACTTTTTTTTAATGGTGCTGAAGGGCACTTCCTTGCCCAGGATTTCAATTTTTATACTTGTCACAGAAAACCAGAGGCTCCAAAGTGAAATTTGAAATCTCATGGCCTGATTGTGTGATTTTATTAATGAATAAATAGGAGCCTATTAGGAGGTAACACATCTAGTGTGAATCTTGTTGTTCCTAAAGTGGTGGGAAAGCTTTAGTCACAGCTCAAAAGGTAGACATTTTCCACACTAGTCCTTACCTCTAATTTGCAAAGCTCTCAAGGACTTGAAACTGCAATTTGTCCAGGCCTTTTGCTTTCAAATTCAAAATTTTCTACTGAGCAAGGCTAGCTGCCAACAAAATGCTGACCTGCCCCTTTTGTTTAGTTAGTGTGCAGTTATCATTTGTTTGGGAAAGTTCTAGTGTGTTGTGAGGCAGCTGGTAAAGAAGCATTGACTGGTTCAAATGACATGTGAGCATGTTCTTTTATACCATCAAATGGGGTAATAAGGGATGTTTTTTTTTAGCATTTTTCATTAATAACTTCTTACCATGAAACATTTCATAAACAAGTTTGGGCTCATTTTATAACTCTTTGTGAGGGCTATCGCATGGTATCTTGAAAAAAAATTTCATATGCTATTCGTAAGGTGCCAGATGCAAAATAAGAGCATCCTGGATAAATTTCTTCGGTATATATAAACGATAAATTTTTTAACTTGCTTTGTGCTACAAAGATAGTAAAAATGTTTAACATTACATCACTATTTTCAGTTTTACAATATTTTGATTAGTTTAGCTGCTACAACATTTCTACAAAATGTGGAACAACTGTCATGATTTACCCTGCCCGTCCCTTATTACCCCGTTTGATGGTATTACCTGTAGAATTGCACTATGGCCAGTGGCACGGTGGCCTTCTGAATGCCCATGTACCTATGTAATTTAGGAGCATGGTGGCCAAAAAAGGAGCGGGACGCCCTAGATTACAAGAGGAGTGCGCTACAGCACTCCAGCACCCACAACACTGCTATTTCCTTAGCAATGAGGCATAGAATATATATATTAGGTGAGCCGTAACTGAATTTTTCAAGCCTTGGTTATATGGATTCGCCAGCCGTGAATTCCAGATCTTGGCCATGAAAAGCCATTTATGAACCGCAAACTTATTTACAAAGTCCGTGCATGGGTTAACCCAAATCTATAATTTTCCCCTAAAAATAGTCAAACAGCAAAACTAACATTTGTCTTCACTTAAGTGGCAACTTAACACGTGATAATGCAGTCCAACTGCTCTGATGTAACCGCAGCTATGCGATCTTCAAGGCAACATGTTGGGTTGATTTGTTATTACGTTTTGCAAGAGATTTTGGCAGGAGCATTGAAGTACCGGCAATTGCGCTATCATTGCAGAAGTTGAAAATTTTATGAAATGACACGTTTGCAAAGTGCAAACAACAATTTTTTCAATCAAACAAAAATACATGACATTAGAGTCACGAGATTTCACACCTACAGAAATTACATGATATTAGAGCTGCACTATTTCAGAAAAGACTTTTCCAACCCTGTTACAGGTTACTGCCTGTTAGCAATTAGCACTCTTGAAGTTATAGTTGTAGGGGTAGGGCCCTTCAGTATAGTGACAAACCAGAAATTTTTTAGAATCAGTTCATGTTTAATTTCCAAATTTTTCCAAGATTTAAAGCTATCTTTTATGTAAGATAATGATGCTATCCAGGATACTTTACTGGTCTACTTATAGGTCCGTACTATGCCGTTATTATAGGACCGTTATAGTGCCGTACTATGCCGGTAAAAAAATGCGCCGTGCGCCGTACTTTTAAAAAGCTAAAATAGTTTAAATATGGACGCGCGGCAACGCAAATTACGTAATCACACTGACCGTACACACAAACGTGTAACCGCATTGTGTTGTGACTTGTGGTTGGATATGAGTTGCCCAGATTGCTAACGCGTCAACTCAGGACTCAGGTTCTAAGAGTCAGCACAGTAATGAATATTCATTCATAGATCACAATTCAATCGGACATGAATTACAGAACTAAAGAAGGCAACATGGCTTTAGATGTGCCATCGGTGCCTTCTAATGAATGACTGGACTGGTTGTGGCAAGTAGGGTATGAACCTGTACGTCAACAGTACAATCCTGCATGCCAATGTTGGGACTACATCAGCGACATCCTCCCGGCCGGCAGAATCGACACGATCAATACCTAATAACAATGCGCATAAATGGATTATATAAATTAGGTCAATATGGCATAATTACAGAGCTTAATTATGCTATGTGATACCAAATATGAATATATATATTTGCAAGATAAGTCAATGGTCTGTCGTCTATTTTTGCTTCATTTGAGCAATTATGGTTTCCAAATCTGGGTGCATTATGTTATGTCATGCATACTTAGAATGTGCAAAAATTATAACTATCATATGAAAATTGTTACATAGGTTATCATAGCATGAATCACAATAGAATATCAAGATTGCAGTTCTGCCACCACCCTTCATTGAATTATCCTGCCTTTTTTTCTAAAATTCAATAATCTCTCTTCCAGCAAAGTTTGCGAAATTCATTAGCTGCATAAAATACTCTCTGCTGTGGTGTTCGAGTTCCGGTTGAAGTAAATTGTAAGAAAAGACCGGGACTCCGGGTTACTTCTGACTCTTCCGCTTGTTGGATACGGAACATACGGTAATCGTAAACTGCGGCTATTAAACATACAAAATGTAAAAATACGGTGTTCAGTGTTGCCATATGACTTTGGAGATAATTTCTTCCAAAATAAAGTTCTAGATTTCTCATTCATCAAATTTCCGTATCAAGAAAAATCATATATTATTGAAGGATAATTAAAGGCATACTGTACTGAGCATTGCGTCTGTTCCTCCACAAACTGCTCTTGTGCGGCATAGAATTGATGGCTGGGATTGCGCGAACTGCAGAAGTCAAGATTAAAGAACCACACTGCAAATCATTCATTCACTAATAAGTGCTAATTGCATAAAAAAAACACTGGCACTGGAAGAAATCTATCTTAATTACAAATTTTTATTTCTATTGCAACGATGAAGGTTAATTATAGAGGCAAACAACAAACAATAATAAAAATGAGAATAGCTTCAGAGGGACACATCACACTCGATTGACTCAAAAGTCGAAGATCGTTCAGCGTTACTTGAAATCTACAGACGATGTTGCCATTCCATTCAGATGAGAACTGTGTCTAAATCAGAACTGTGTCGGCCGGCTCCACAGCCCGCGCTGAGTGCTGCGCCACGTGGAATCGATGACCGTGATTTACGCGAACGCGTGCGCAAAGAAAATATAAAAAACTATATATGCGCGGGAAATTTCCCCGTTTATATACATCTTCCTGACTCCTGTCTCCTGAGTGTGGCACGGTGATGGTACCTCATCTGTCATGGATAGTACTGTTGGCCTGTTAGGAAATGTTTTTTTTCTACATATGCAAAAATTTGGCAATGCATTTACCAAACTCTGCAGCATAGTGGCAAAGCAGAGAGTTTTTTAGACTCTCACTCAAGTTCATATTTAAGTCTTATAAGTAGACCAGTAAAGTATCATGGATACCAGCTTTATCATACTTAAGAAATTGGCTTAAATTTTGAGTGCACAAGGAAATTAAAAATGAACTGATTCTAAACACTCTGTGCTTTGCCACTATGCTCTGCAGTCTGCACCCTGTCCCTGGCTTTACACTTCAGCAATCAGCAGTTCAGATTGATTTTCCAGTTAAATTTTACAGCTATTTGATTGATAGTTTCAAAAATCACTGATAAATGTTAAACAAATTTCATGACTCTGGAAAATATCTAATTAGCTAAACAGAATATTTAACATTTGAACCTAAAATTTTAGTAAAAAATCGTAACCTCAAAGACAGCATACAAATCTTAAAATTTATGAAATTACATTTTTAGAACAAATGTTAAAGCGTAAATAAAAAAAATACTGTGCACACTGACACAGTCACACAGGCACACAGCACAGCACACTCCGGCTCCGCCTGTCCGCCACA